TTGCACCATGTTGTAAGCTCATCAATTTGGGAGTTGTTAGACCTGGGAAGAGCCCCATCTAACCCATGAATAACTTTTTCTACAAACGTCACTAAAAGTGTCATTTTTAACGTATGCTGTCAGTGTCTAAAATGCCATTTTATGACACTGGTGTTAAAAGTGATTACTTTTAGCACTGAGTGCTAAAAGTGATTTTATTTTGTTCAAACTTCCCTTTTCACAAAATAAAATGTCACTTTTACCACTTATATCATAAATAACTATTAAGGCACATTTCATCTGAAATTTCTATTGCCTAAAGTTGGTTCCATCAAACTTATTGACGCTGGGAACGTCAACTTTATCATTCATTGTATTGTCTCAACTGGAACTCACAATAAACGGCGAACGTTTTCGTAGTTTTCGTGTTGCACTCGTTACAGGGACACACCCTGGTACAGATCTTTCCAGTTTTTCACAATAGTTTTCCAAGGGACAAAACCCAAAACGTTTCACACGCATTTTTATTCCACAAGCACAAACACTTTCCGGGTAAGCGCGACTGGGCCCGTGACCTGTTATGAACAGAGTATGAAATAAAATGCCCCTAAAACTAATATGTAAAATATGAAAAACAACAACTAATATTATTGGCGTTATGGTCTACTATAGTGTCTCTTCACACCGTGACAGAAATACTGCAGAAATTTGATCCGGTCCACAGCAGGCAGGCCCGCCGAGAGGGCATTACAGGCGGTACAAATTACCGGAGCCCGGGCTTGAGGGGGGCCCGGATAACTTATATTTTTTTACAAATAAATATGCATATACCTAATCATATAAACTGATTTGGGTATAAATTTAGAGTAAATTAGTGCCACTGTTGCCTTCCATCGACACATAAACTTTCCTCTAGTATCCAAATTATTTTTGCTGCTCTAGGAAGAATCTTTTAATTTTCCCCCCTACGAAAATACATTTTTTTTGTCTTGCATAGGCGAGCGAAAGTGAAAGTGAAACATGCTAGTAGTTACTTTCACTTTCGCTACTAGCATGTTTCACTTTCGCATTCGCATGCCTATTCAGAATTTTTGAAGGGGAAGAATGAAAAGTTTAATACATTACACGCTGCAAGAGCCCTTTTTCATTCTCCCCCCTGCGAAAGTATATTTTTTTATCTTGCATAGGCGAGCGAAAGCGAAAGTGAAACATGCTAGTAGTTACTTTCAGTTTCGCCACTAGCATGTTTCACTTTCGCATGCCTATTCACGATTTTTGAAGGGGAAGAATGAAAAGTTTAAGACATTACACGCTGCAAGAGCCCTTTTAGATGCTTGGAAGTATTCAAATAGCCTCGGCTATTTGAATACACCTCGCACCTAAAAGTACGCTTTCGCAGCTTGGAATGTAAATAACTATTAGGTGTTCGGAGGTATTTGAACAGCAATTTACTATTTTTAATACTGAATTAATACCCAAATTCTAGTTTTTGTCATACTACAATAACATACAAAAATTACAATGCAGGCAAGCAGTCTTAAATAGGTAAATTTCGCTATAATCAACAACGGCAACATCGGCAACAACCCTGCCGCACGCATGTTTCGTATTTACGTTTTTTGTCTCTGGGGGATTTTCTGGATACTTGAGTTATTTGTTGTTCTGTTTGTTTGCATAGTTGTTTTTCTGTAATGCACTATGAGACACTGGTTTTTATACCTTTATTAAATCAAAAAGGCAAAATGAACATGAAAACCGGCTCCACAATACCCAATAAATATTTCGCGCATGTTTCAGGCCCGACAGGAGGAGGGAGGCCCGGGTTCATCATAGTTATTATAGCTCTGTTCCAACAGACATGAGAACCGTTCGAGAAAGGTAATTTCCAGTCGATCAATTCATTTGTCAATTGGGATAAACGTTCAGCTTATTGAAAAATATAGGTGATGCGCAACTGGAAATAACTGGTTCTAGAACGGTTCACATGTCTGTTGGAACAGAGCTTATAATGGAATAATCTTATCATTATAAATTTGGAAGACCTAAAAAAAAAGAGGGGGGACCCGTTATTATTTTTTTACCGGGGCCCGACACGGCTCTCGGCGGCCCTGACAGCAGGGGCTTGTGTCGGTCTTGAGGTGTAATGTTATTTCTGATATTTCTATCTGTAAATAGGTGTTCGGTCGCAGAGCAGGTGTAGTGTCAGTGCTGAGAGCTAAACACTTTGGAACTGTGCCACATCCTCTTGTACGTCAATTATAATAATATTAGTGTGCCTTGTCGATTAGGCTGAAACTAATGTGTTTGGAATTGGGGCTACGATTTAAACATTTATATATGCATCAAAATGTTCGTCGGGGCAAATTTTGATCGTGGTCAGCTAGAAGGTTGTGCTCATAGTTTTTTCGTGTCGCTGAGAGTAGAGTAGTATTTTGTTCTGTTTGTTCTGAATACGGTACAAAGAATAGCTTTCTTATGTTTGATTTTTCCTGTACTTATGCCATAGATCTCTTTTCTTCTTGATTTCCCTAAACACCCCTTTGTTCAACTAGGGCTTTTGAGTATTTGTTTTTCTAGACTTTATGGGGATTAAGTGGTCTATACTTGTAAGGAGGGCAGATTCTAGGTTGCTGTAGTTTAATGATTCTTCTTGGTTGGTTGATGATGCAGAAAGGTATTTATTTTCTCGTAGTCAGCATGCCAGAAAGCAATCGCGTTTGTAGACCTTGTGGGTTGGTTTGACTGGAAGTTGATAAGTTGCTTGCCTGGTGTGCGACTTATAGCCTTCCAAAAAGTCTAGGCTACATTGATCACGGGAGTTGACAGTAAGGGTGTCCCAGACAATATCCGGGTAGTTGAAGTCCCAAAGATAAATACGGGCTTTATTGATGACATGACTATCTCTATTACTTGAAGAACTTGCTGATTATGCTCAATTGTAGTGTGTTGTTTGGGTCTGTAGATGCAGGCTTAAAGGGGGTGTGACCTTAAAATACAACTTGCTTTCAGAAAATAAAGACAAAAATTCTAAGAACTCTTGTGAAAATCTCGCATCGCTACTCAAAATAATAAAGTAGATACACCTAAATAAAGGTTTGTCTATTCATCGCGTGACGTCACAACCACGCGACGAGCGTGTTGGCCGGCTCAGGGCGCGAGCCGAGTGTCATTACACGCTCAGTAGTAGCCTATTTATTGGTGTATGTCGTTTATAGATTAACGTTCTTCTGCTTAATTTGTTCGTTGCTTGTCAATGGTGTTTCATTTATGTAATAACATTAAAAATGCCTAATTGCTGTGTTGAAGGTTGCAATAACAATCCTAAAAATGCTGGTGTTTCGTTGCATTCATTTCCGAAGAAAGATCTACAGCCAGCTCTATACAAAGCGTGGAAAAATCGCATCATAAACCGGAAAAATTTTAATCCCAATCATCGCCATATGGTTTGTAGTGTACACTTTAATGAAAATGACTTTGAACATAGTTTAAAGACGATTTTATTGCCTTATGAGAAGATAAAGATGAGATTGAAGAAGAATGATATTCCGACTCATCTCTTTTTATCCAATAAAGGTGCTACAAAAGAAAGTATATTAAGAATTTCCACGTATCTTCGTGAAACACTTGCACCATGTAAGCGAATTAGGTCTTTCAGGGTTTTTGTCAATTTTTCCTTTTTCCTCGTCGTTTTTTAATTTCCATTATTATTGAAGAAAAAACTTAGAATATCTTATTTTAAATTAAAAAAACCTATTTAAACTTGAACGCAAAAACAATACGATAATCGGATAATCTCTATATATTATTATGCAGCAAGCATGAGCAGACGCGCGCACAACGCCGGCCGGCGGACTCAGCTGTGGTTCTGACGTCACAGTGCTGGGAGTAGCAACTTCATACCACGATATCTTCGCAACGGTTGGTCGTAGCCTAGTGCGGTTTGAAAATTTGTTCTTAGATTTTTTTTCCAAAACTTTTATTTTTGGATCACACCCCCTTTAAGTGAATATCATATTTCTTATAGAGACATCAAGCCATACTGAAGTTGATATTGCTTATCACTTTCACTGCATGTCCCGCTATTGTATCCCTGATATGATACAGGCCCCACCTCCATTGGATCCCCTGGATTTATTTAACATTGAGTTCAGGTTCCTGGAGAGAAGGCGACCTCCACTAAGCTTGAGGTATATAGTTTTTTGAAGTAGTAACATCCCGCTTGATGATAATTATACATTTTATTCTGAGTGTTGGAGCCTCCGAATCTTTATCAGTGGACTGTATCCCAAATAGCAGCCAACCCTGCCATTTCCCTAAAATTCACCTAAAAATTGCTTCTCACTCCAATTGGTTCCAATTAAAATCCAACAACATTTGATTGAACTTCTATTTAACTTGATTTTCTATAAAAATACTTCCGGTGATTACATGGAGCAGCTTCCTCATATATTTATTTTACAATAATATTTTTTCTATTTTCTATGGTTTCTCGATAAACGAATAAAGGTATACCTAACAACAAAAACATAATGCGATGGGATGAGATGATGGCAGGTTTTTCCAATAAGGCATCGATTACACTCAAAGGCAAGCCCATATAGGTTTGCCTGTCAGTGATACCAGAAACATTGATAATTTTGATTTCAACTCCCAACACTGAGTTTCTGTTCACCTTTGTTTTTCCGTTTATCGAGCTCCCTCAGGATGGTTTGAAAATGGGCCCTTTGTAATGGTGTCTGGTCTGATTTCAGGTAGACACCATTTATGTTCAAGTTATTTTTGACATGTAAAATTTGATTTACTTCGTCTGCAGAGGGCAAAACCACTCTTAGTGTCTTAATTTTCCCCTCTTCAGGTTTACCGAATCGATATACTTTGGTTATGGTTTTTTTCTTTATTCGTTTTTGGCTTCGGAGCAACTCTGTGGCTCTTTCATGTTCATCAATCAATAATTAAAATTTGCGAGTTAACCTTCTCTTATAATAGTGTATCATGAAAAACTCCATATTATTCGATTGCAGATTGACGAAAGCCATCGGAACAAAAAAAGCCCTTGATCTACTTCTAACGTCCAGAATACTAACCGCACAAGAATGTCTGGATATTGGATTAGCTTCAGGTATAGTAACCGAGGAAAATAAATTAGAAGATTGCCTGGAATGGACCAGAAGACGCACTCGACATAGTTGCAATGTAACTAGAGCTTTTAAATTGGCCGTGTCACAAAGTAATTTATTTGACGAATCGTTGAGGAATGAACTTGAATTATTTTTACCTTTATGGGGTTGTCCCGAGAATAGAGAGGCATTAAGTAAAAATATTAAACATGTTAATGGTCATAAATGAATGATATTAATAGGCAGAATAAAAATCCAAACATAAATTCATACTAGTAATATATTTCTATAGAAAAACATCAACCATTATTCAACAAAATATACATTTTTTTTTATAAATAATTTTTGTTTTCGATTTATTTACTATCCCCTAAATCCAGCTCCTGGACGAACATCTCCATCATCCTCTTCGGGATGAGCCGCGTTCCACTCTAAGGATTTAAGAATTTCTGGAGGAATAGGAGGTGCCACAGGTAAATGGTTGCCTAAAAAATTAACAAAATATTGTTTCTGTTACTATATATTTTTTTTATTTTTTTTCAAAATGCTTTTTGTTAGGTATAATTAAAATGGCACAAAGTTATTTCAACAATCACAAGATTAACGATTTCGTTTTAAATTTTATTTTGTGTAAGTAAAGATTTTTCTTCGAATCGATTTCCTCGGCTCACTTCAATCATTGTCGTGCCTAAAAATGTATTTATTATACAAGGTGTGTATTTTATTGGTTAAAAGTGTTAAAACGTTTTTGTTAAAAAAAGCAGCTGCTTTCTGTAAGTGATAATATTGCCAGCTGAAACGGAAATTCTTTAGGAAATACTTGAGCAGATATGGGTAGAAAATTAAAAAGGATCCACCTGGATTTTCTCGAAAATTATCAGGAAATTAAAAAAACGTCGAAACACGTCGATTTTGTTTGCAAGGACGACACTTTTTGGCTATTTCAAAATTTTCCTAGATTCCACCCCCTTACCGGGATGAGTTGCACCCTCAAAAGTTGAATAGGGAAACTGGGTCGAGTGATACCTTAGTTCAGAGGTATTTGAGATGATTTTACAGGTCTGTAATTTTTTTTGAAATCTGACTTCTAGTTTTCAAGACAGAAAGTAGAAAAACACGTTCTCTTTTTGCCCCATGGTAAATTCCGAGGCAAATATCTTGAAAACTAGTAGTTAGATTTCGAAATAAATGACAGATCTGTGAAGTCATCTCTCAAACAAGGTACCACTCGACCCAGTTTCCCTATTCAAGTTTTGAGGGTGCAACTCACCCCGGTAAGGGGGCGGAATCTAGGAAAATTTTGAAATAGCCGAAAAGTATCCCCCTTGCAAACAAAATCGACGTGTTTCGGCGTTTTTTTAATTTCCTGATAATTTTCGAGAAAATTCAGGTGGATCCTTTTTAATTTTCCACCCTGTATTGTATAGGTATTTAATAAATCCGTTCCAGGTCAATTGGAAGATTATTTAACAATTCTATTGAATATCTTGTAACAGCTTAGGATAAGTATAGGTACCTACTTGGTACTTGGTTCTTTGCATATTGTAAGGTAGCCTATTATAGTATGCAGGAATAAATAATTTTTTTAGTAATTATGTGACGTGGTAATACCACCTCTACACATTCATCTGGAAGACCCTAAAAACAACTATACCAACAATAATCAATTGGACGGCAGGGAGCCCTCAGGGGGGTGTGCAAGGTACTGAACTGCTGGAATTTATTTTAACAAGAATCTGAATTTGAAAACGTAAAGCCGGTCCCAGACGCTACGTGTACCTATTCGGCGAACATTCGGTATTCGGGCTTATTCGCGTAGCGTGTGGGAAGGTAACTTTGGCGAATATTCGTCCTTCGTCATTTTCCCGCCAATTATCGGTAAACTGGCACGAAGCAAAGGAATTAAAAAGGGGATATATGCGTAGTGTCTTGACAGTTTATAGCGGTGTGCAGTGCCGCAAGGTTGATTTTTGAGTTTCTTTATTTTTAATTAAAATAAGAAATGAAGTGGACCAATGAATTAACGTTAGAATTTTTACAATTATTTGAAAATGAACCTGTCATTTGGAAGAGAGCAGGCAAAGATTCGTGCAAATGACGAATATTCGCCTATTCGCCAAATACACGTAAAGTCTGGGACTGGCCTAAGGAAATTAACCCCAGGTGGCTGGATCCTTCAGGGAAAAATCCTACAGCACGCTGAAAGTCTGTCTCAATGATTCTGTGGAAGGGAAAGATTCGCATCAACGCTTATTCAGAAAGCCAAGAATACGAGAAAGCTGCGCATACCGACATACAATATTCGGACCATGAAATCAAACAAACTCGTAGAAGAATTTAATATTGTGAGACGAAATATTCAAATACAGTCGAATGTGTCTTAGGAGGCGATGATAATAGCAGTAGCTTCGTTTTCACTCAAAACTAGTTAGGAATCATTCTGTACATCAGCATATTATAAAAGCCAAAAGGCGTTTTCGTTTTTTCAAAATCGTAATCGAACTATGTTGACAGCGTTTGGTTTATTAGAACTACATAAAAACAATTCTGGGATTGTTCTAGAATGGTTTTCCCAGTTCTTGCTCTGAAGGAGGAACTGTTTTCGATTTTTGCGATTTGCGGCTTGTTTTGGTTTTTTTGGTTCCGAATGGGTCAGAATTAGTAAAACAATCTTCCATTATTTTTTGTGCGCAAACAGTTCTGCGCAATATCAGAACCGTTCCAAATTTCGAACCAAAACAAAGCTATCAATGGAGGAGTTGGAATCCTGATTCACAAATGCATGGTCCCATACCTACAAATACTCAAGAGCATACCTACATAACATTGAAAATCAACAAGAATACAACAATCAAAGGAGAAACTTTATGAAGAGGTAACACAGTGTCTTCATAAGAACAAAACAAAGTACACACTAGTTATGGGAGCTTTAAATGCAAAAATAGGCCAAGATGACACCGACTCATGTTGCATTGACAAATTCGGACATGGTAAAAGAAATGAAAGAGGCAACATTCTAATCAACTTCATAGAAAGAGAGAAACCCTTTGCGATGAACACATTCTTCATAATGAGACCTAACAAAAAATGTACATGGGCTATCCCGCATGGAAACACAAGAAAAGAAATAGACTTTATACTGACACATCAAAAACACATATACCGCGTGTGGTTAATTCACCAAAATGGTGCACCGCCATGGATACGGTAATAACGATTCATTAATGCCAATGCCAAACCACAACTTGCCAAACCCCGTTTAATTTAACAACACTGCTTCTTCTACCATTCCACCACGGTGCCTACACCAGCTGAATTTAGCCAGACGCAAGTGCAGGTGTGTAGTGCTAGTTTTTAGTTGTCGAATTGTAAACGTCAAGTGATTAGTGTTAAGTGATAAGTGCAAGCTACAGTGTAAGGAAATCAAATCGTGTTCTATTTTTCTGTTTAGTAACACTAAACCACTACTATAAAAACTTGCAGTTAACAAAATGTATACCGGCCATAAGGCTCATACACGACTGGCAGCGATCATAGAATGGTAAAATGTAAAATAGCCATAAAAGGCAGACTAGAAAGAGCAAATAAATTCAAGTGTCCCCAAAAGAAATTGAACACACATACACAGCGAAACACAAAAAACAAAATTCGCAACAAAATTAAAACAAAAACTGGAGGAAAACCCCATAAAACTCCACGAAAACATAAATCAAATTAATAAAAGAATTATGGAAACAATAAAGCAAACAGCAAAAAATATCATGAAACTGAAGGGTAGGCCAGAAAAGTTTACCAAAAAAACAAAGCAAATGCTGGAGAAAAAAAGAGAACTTATTAAACAAGAAAAAAAAAAGATACAACAAAATACAGAGAGACTAACAAAATAGCCAGAAGGATGACAAAGCAAGATATTAAAAACTATACCAAGAAGCACAAATCGAAAAACTGATAGAAAAATATGTTTTTAAAAGAGAGAACGCACACAAAAGAGAAATTAGAAAGCTCTGATGGACAAACAGAGAAACATTATGGAAGACAAAGATGGAATATTGCGTGGGGCGGAAAATTTCTATAAGGAACTTTATGTCGCAAAAAGCAACAACGAAAATAACTAACAAGAAATCGAAAGCGAAACATCCAAAATTCTAAATGTTGGATCAGAGATCTCTAATATAAAAGAGGAAGAAATTGCAAAAACGCTAAAGCCAATTAAACAACGGAAAAGCCTCAGGAATGGACGATATACTACCAGAAATACTGAAGGAGGCAGGAGAATACCTTGTAAAAAAACTGAAAACACTTTTCAATAAATTTCTAACAAAGGGAAAAATACCACACGACTGGGAGGCTGCCATCGTCGTCCAAAATTATCCATCAAATCTTGAAAGCTATAGACCCATAAGCCTCCTGTCTCAGATACCTATACCTACAAACTATTTATGAGAAAAATCACCGACAAAATCACCAACCGCCTAGAAAGGAAATTCGATGATTACCAACCTAAAGAACAAGCAAGCTATAGAAAGAGCTACAGCACTATAGAACATCTTCACACAATAAGAGTACCTACTAAATTAAAAGACGAACGAATATAATATTACAACATGGCTAGCATTAATCCATTTTAGAAAAGCCTTTGACACTGTCGAATTCTGGGGGATAGAGAAATAGCTATGAGAAATACACGATACACGAATAGATCAGCGATATATGTATATACATAATCAAAAATATTCAAGAAGCAACAAAAATAAAATTAAGAATGCATGAAGATACAAACGAAGTGAAGATCAAAAGAGGCGTAAGATAAGGCGATATAATATCACTTAAGCTGTTCACCCTAGTCTGCCTAGTCATTGAAGGGGGGAAAATTGAGGGATCAATATATCTGGAGAAAACCTCAAAAATTTAAGATTCGCTGATGGCATCGTAATATTCGCCCCGAACGAAACAGACTTAGAAATCACGCTGAAAGAATCACTCTAAGAAGATCGGATTATAGAAATGAACAAATCAAAAACAGAGTTTATTACAAATAAGCAAACAGATAGGAACACAATAACCATAGAAAACAAAAAGGGGAAAAAGTAAACTCCTACAAGTATCTAGGACAGGAAATAACGCTTGGCAAAGTTAATCAAGTGCTTGAAATTAATAGGAGAATACAACTGGGATGGGCGGCGTATGGTAAAATGCGCCACAAATTCTGGTCCAAGTTACCTTTGAAGCTGGAAACTAAAGTCTACAACGAATGTATTATGCTAGTAGTTGCTTATGGAAGCGAAAAATGGACTCTCACAAAGAAAATCCCAAATAAGCTGCAAGTACATTGGAGAGCAATTGAGAGGAGAATGTTAGGTATATTACACTATGGGATCACAAGACCAACGAGTGGATAGGAAATACAACAAAGATCGAAGGCATTACACATAGAATATGCACCCTTGAATGGAATTGGGCAGGCCACGTAGCGAGACACACAAACAACAACTGGAGCGGAAAACTAACAAGATGGAGACCCTAGGGGAACGAAGAAGCGTTGGCAGACGTCAACAACGCTGGTACGATGACATCAAGCGAACAGGAGGACTAAACTGGTACCAGGTCGCACAGAATAGCTGGCAAAATCTGAGAGAGGAAGAAAGATGTCTTGGGAGTATGCGAGACAAGGTTACCGAAAGAAACATTTACTATGTAAGTATATTGAAAAATTAACACTTGCTATTCCAAAACAGCTTAGAGGAGAATACGCATCCAGGAGCAGTTGCGATATCTAAGGGTCCACAAAAGACTAAAACATTTAGTGAGAAAAATGAAACCTACCAATCGGACCTCAACAAAAAAACTCTTTAATCACAAAAGCTTGAAAATTTACAACTTGAATGAAAGTAACTCAGTTGAAGTATCAAATCAGTCCCAAGAAAGAAATGTTCTACAAGGAAAAACACAACAAATAAACTGCCGAAGGAGATTCTACACCTACACTTCATGAGTGAACGTGGAAAGGGAATACGTGAACCTGGAGAATTAAAAAGGAAAATAAAAATAAAAGAACGAACACATCAAAACCTGAAAACGATCAACGCTAATGGCCGTGCAAAAATACATAAATCAATAGCCAGATGAAAATCCAACAGAAGACCACCAATGAATAACTAATACTATGAAGAAATTCTACAAGGAACTTTATTCAAATAGGAATTCTATCCTTGTCGACATAGTAAATGGGAACATCCTTGATGTATCTGAAGCATTGAGAGACATCACTGAAGAAGAGATAGAACTTGCCTTCTTTCAGATTAAAGAAGAAAAGGTCTAGGAGAGAACGAAATCACAGTTGAAATCATAGAAGGAATAATTACTACTACGAAATCCATCAAAATGCTTGAAAATAAATGTATCCAGGAAGGCCAAGTCACCTAAACGCGGTGTAAAATGCAAGTGATCAAGATAAACAGCCAACAGCCTGGAGAACCAAGCGCAAAGAGCAGCAGAGAAACAAATAAACCACTAAACAATTATCAAGCTTACATGTTACAGAGTAATACAAAACTAAACGGAAGTTACTTGATGCCCGGAGAAAGTATGAAAATGGTCTTGTAAATGCAGATTCACCAAAAAACTGTTTAAGTAGGTATATAAGTCGAAACTTGGATTCGCAGGTAATAGGTATCATAACTTTAAAAGATCCTGCATCTGAGCGGTATTTGGATGGTGTAGAGTGTAGCCATGGCAGAAAAATTGGCGGAGCAATTTGACACAGCTTTTACAACTGAGGCTTATTCAGTTCCAGCCCTACATGACAATAGAGTAGAGAGATCTATCGAAGAAATACAATTTACAACTGATAAAGTAAAAAATTCTTAAATATATGAAAAAATACTCAAGCTCAGGACCCGATGAACACAGCCACAGTTAGCCCATTGCTTGCGGGAATGTATGGATCAAACAAAAATTCCAGCATCTTGGAAATATTCCATTGTCACGCCACTGTACAAAAAAGGTCCAAAATTACCGCCCTATTAGACTTACTAGGTATTTATGGAGAAAATTATAGTTAAGGAACTTAATATCTTTCTTTCTAGAGAACAATCTCATACCTTCAGCCTAACATACATTTGTACCAAAACGTTCTACCACTACCAATCTTTTGGAATGTCTAAATTATTGGACAAACAACCATGACAATGGCCTACCAACAGATGTTATCTATCTAGATTATGATAAAGCATTCGACAAAATCCCACATAACCTGTTATTAGCGACACTAGAGCACTTTGGAGTTGCTTGCCTTGATCACGGATCTGCTAGAAGTTAGATTTTTTCAAGTGAGAGTTAATGGAGAGTGGCGTCGTGCAGGTTTCGGTGATCGGTTCGATACTGTTCACAGCGTATCGTTTTGATTTGGTGGAACTGGGCCGGTATTCTCGTTCTCGAAAACGCTCATCGCTTTTCAGTCGCTAGGCACTTTCAATGTAAATTTACATTTAAAGTGCCGAGTGACTAGAAAGCTGTGAGCGTTTTTGAGAACCAGAATACCGGCCCTGGTCCAATTAAGTGTGAAATTGCTTGCAGATGATTGCAAAATCTATGCAAATCCTTTGATAAATGCAGATTTACTTCAGACTAATCTACAGAACATTGAACAGTGGTCAAAAACGTGGGGAATGAAATTGAACTTGAAAGTCAAAATGCACAGTACTAAGGATTGGCCCAAATAAACCCTAACAAAGACTATATTCTCAATGACTCTGCTTTGACATCAGTAAATGAAGAAAATGATCTGGCAGTTGTAGTAACAACCGACTTGAAGTGGGATAATCACATAATCAAAATAACTAAAAAAGCTAACTCCTATGTATACTTAATTAACCATGCCCTTAAAGACCACTGTATCGAGATGATATCTACCCTTTACAAATGCTATATACCGCAGAGTGAGAAAAATTCCCCCACAGATGAAACATTTGCCATATCCAGAAAGATTACATAAATTCAATTTGATATCCCTTAAAGAAAGAAGACACAGGGGCGATTTAATTGAAACCTACAAAATAACCAGTGATTACTATCAGAGTGTAATCTGATAAACATTTTCAATCCATGGTCGAAATTCTCATCTTCGTGGCCATTCTAAGAAGCTTGAAAAGGAAAGATCAGCAGAACTTTCTAGGAAAAATTTTATAGTCAACCATGTAATGCATTTTTGGAATTTGCTTTGCCAAAATACTGTGTCAGCACCAAACACTCATATTTTTGAAAATCGTGTTGACAGAGAATTGAAAGAATACTCAGAAGCAATAATTTATTATGGTGCATGAACTAAAACTCACATGTCCTTTTAAAAGTTTGATAAAGTAACAATAGCTTTATCGGTTTCGACCGCCTGCTATTGCACAAAGTCTCAGGGATCATACTACATAGCAATGATGAGATTAGACGAAGAACGGAAGTAGATGATTTCGTAACTCGAATATACATCGCATGTCAAAATTAAGCAATTCCAGATAGACAAAACGAATCCTGGATTGCTGGATTAGAAACCACGACTACATAAAAGAAGTGTCGGGGGATCGTAAAGGAGCTCGTTGTGTGAAAAGAAAAATACATATAATTAATCTGAAAATGTCTTTCATCATAATTATGATAAATCAACGTACAAATAAAAGTCCTTCTTCTTACCTGTAGGCTGGAATCCACCCTCGTTAGCGATATATTGCATTTGAATGGGAGTACCATCTGGCGCGGTGTACTGGAACGACCCTCTAGCCTCCTCGATTGCTTCTTGGGCACCCGCATTTTTCGATTGGCCTTGTTCTTGAGCTGATATACCATTTTCTGATTCAAAACTAAACAAAAATGATCAATTAATACGTCGGCGATCATTAGATTTTTCTCGGTCCTCCGACGACCGTCCCGTTTTTGCTTTCAAATTAAGTTTATACATTTTGTCTATTATTTCGAGAGTCCAATGAGGCTAATACGTGCCATAGAATATTTATCTAATTAAGCCCATAATAAAGTTTAGTTATTGGGCGTTAACTATAAGACCACATCAGTCAAAAATAGGTTCCAACTGAATGTGAACATCTCTATGAAAATGAATTCAGGGACTGTCATTATGTTTTTCAAGCACTTTAACTCTCATATAGCATTGATACATGATATGTATACACCTAACACCTAATTATGCAAGGTTTCTTATTTTATTGGAAGAACATTGAGAAACAAACATTATACATCTAAATGTCTGATCTATATCTTTCTGCCTAATCGGTATTATAAGGATTGGTCTACAATTCTAGAAAACCTTTATAATACGTGATTGTCAAATAATAAGATGATATTTTGCTTTTGTTCGCATCGGAAAAGTTCATCTGGGTAATTAAGGATTTAACCCATATAAGCTTGGCGCTCGAGGCTGAACGAGGTTTTCAAATTAATCATGACAACAGGGTCACGATTTAGTATTTTTCAGAAATAAAAATTTTCCATTGGCGGATGCACTATAATGCTTTAGTTAATTATACAGGATCTTTAGAAAATTGCAAAATATTTACCTCCATTTATAAGAACCGTCAATTCCTACTTCGTTGGTTTCGCTTAATATCCGAATGATTTGTCCTGGACTCGATGGTATCGGAGCTGGACGAAAAGGACGTTGTGGCTGGGCCCATATCGAACTTAGGAATATTGTGGCGAGTAGGAAAATCTAGAAATATATGTATGAAACAGTGAAAACTTTTTGTCATTCTAGAGTAGGTATAACCAGTAAACATTTAATGTACTTTGTTGACACTTATTAGGTCTGTTTCTGCAAAAATGCACCAATGAAATTCACTCTGGACTGGTTTGTGATTTCTGCAGAAACAGACCTATTGATACATCCAGCAGCAAACAGCTTGTTGCCAGCTTTTACTCAAGTGCTCGGGTTTGTTCAAGTTGATTTATTGATATCTAGTGAAAACTCTGAGAAATGTGCAATACAAATCTAGATTAGGTACAACTAAAAAGTACTGTCGATTACCTAGTAGTTACTGATAACAAATATTACCTACTTTTTCCAGAAATCTCTAATTTCAAATTGCAAGGATACATTTTTATCAATCCAAGATAGTGATTGTAATCGTAAAGCAGGTAGGTAAGCCTATCATATTGTGATTACAATTTATTATGAATAGGTATCTGTTTTAGGCTCGGTCTGTGAAGTAGGTAGGCAGACACACTTGAAGCACAAAACTTGAATTTTACGTAATTGTTTAGCGCTCCGTTAGTGCTTCAATCCTCAAATTAGCAAACCTTGTATTTTCGAAGATATCTCGGTTTTTTGAAATTGCCTGCTTACTTCACACCTAGCAGGACCATGGAAAGCACCAACGTTCAGTTGTAGATAAATTGTTAGTGCTTCATGATGCACCACCTTAGCTTTCAAAAACTCTTATACTTCCAGAGATATTTCGATAATCGCCTGCTGATTTCACCATACCAGGATCGAGAAACGAGAATATGAACAACATAAATATGATTAGTAGGTACTAACTGCTTCCTAATGCTTGGGCTGGTTTACTTATCTTCTGATAAACTTACTAAGTACCTAATAACTATCTTCAAGACAAATTTGCCAGTCGATAATCCTTGGTCGACGAATATAACTGGCCGACCAATAGGATTATAGATTTCGTTTTTATCCGTTAGATAATCCTGATAATTTATCAGATGGTGAATAAACCGGGCCTTTGTTTCTCTTTTGAGTTAGCCGTTATATTCATTTTATCACAAATGTTATAGATCAGAACTAACCATCTATCTACAAATGAACGTTGGTGTTTCCAATGTTCCTGCTATGTATGAACTAAGCAGACGATTTCTAAAAACCGAAATATGTTTGAAAATATAAGGGTTGCTAATTTGCGGATTGAAGCACATTGAAGCACTAACCATCTATCTATAACTACTAAACGTTGATGCTTTCAATGCCCCTGCTATGTGTAAACTAAACAGGTGATTTCTAAAAACCGAAATATATCTGAAAATATAAGGGTTCCTAATTTGCGGATTGAAGCACATCTATCTACAACTACTTAACGTTAATGCTTTCAATGCTCCTGCTATATGTGAACTAAGCAGGCGAATTCTAAAAACCGGAATATCTCTGAAAATTCGAGGGTTGCTATATTGGGAATTGAAGCACATTGAACCATTTATCTGTATTTGAACGTTGGTGCTTTCTTTTTGCCTGCTGGGTGTGTAGTGAGCAGGCGATTTCTAAAAACCGAAACATATCTGAAGATATAAGGGTTACTAATTTGCGGATTGAAACACAAACCATCTATCTACAACTACTCAACGTTGATGCTTTCAATCAATGCTCCTGCTATGTGTGAACTAAGCAGAGGTGATTTCTAAAAACCGGAATATTTCTGAAAATTCCAGGGTTGCTAGTTTGGGAATTGAAGCACATTGAAGCACTAACGAAGCACTAACCATTTATCTGTAATTGAACGTTGGTGCTTTCCTCTTGCCTGCTGGATGTGTAGTGAGCAGGCGATTTCTAAAAACCGAAATATACCTGAAGATATAAGGGTTACTAATTTGCGGATTGAAACACAAACCATCTATCTACAACTACTAAACATTAATGCTTTCAATCAATGCTCCTGCTATGTGTGAACTAAGCAGAGGTGATTTCTAAAAATCGGAATATCTCTGAAAATTCAAGGGTTGCTAATTTGGGAATTAAAGCACATTGAAGCACTAATCATTTATCTGTAATTGAACGTTCGTGCTTCCCTTGTTCCTGCTGGGTGTGTAGTGAGCAGGCGATTTCTAAAAACTGACATATATCTGAAAATAAAAGAGTTGCTAATTTGCGGATAGAAGCACATTGAAGCACTAACCACTTGTCTACAACTACTAAACGTTTGGTGCTTCCGACGTTCCCGCTATCTGTGAACTAAACAGGCGATTTCTAAAAACCAGAATATCTCTGAAAGTTCAACGGTTGCTAATATGGGGATTGAGGCACATTGAAGCACTAACGAAGCACTAACTATTTATCTGTAACTGAACGTTGGTGCTTTTCATGTTCCTGCTAAGTGTAAAGTAAGCAAGTGATTTCTAAAAACCGAAATATTTCTGAAAATATAGGGGTTGCTAATTTGGGGATTGAAGCGCATTGAAGCACTAACCATTTATCTGTAAATGAACTTTGGTGCTTTCCTTGTTCCTGATGGATGTGAAGTAAGCAGGCGATTTCAAAAAACCGAAATATCTCCGAAAATACAAGGGTTGCTGTTGCTAATTTGGGGCTTAAAACACATTGGAGCACTTACGAAGTGCTAAACAATTACGTAAAATTTAACTTTTGTGCTTCAAATGTGCCTGCCTACTTCACCCTGTTTTATAAACTAAACAAAACTAAAATCCAATGTGAGATAATCATCAAAACTTTTTCCAAAAAGATAAATTACCTATGTATGTATGTACAGGGTTTTCCCGTATATTTTTGCACCCTACCTGCAGCCTTTACCTTTACAGGCTAGCTAAATTTTTAAAATCCATCGTCAGAAACAAAAATTTATTTTCAGAAATTTGAAATTTTACGTATTTTCAACGTTTTTCAAATGAAATGCCCTATATTTGATTTTATATTCTTGAAGAGTACAATTTTCCGATTCCAAAAATATATAATTTTTCTATATTTGGTTGAGCCGTCTCGAAATATATTTCGCTCTAAAAATTTTAAAAATACTATCAGAGAAACCAAGTGCCTCAAATTTTACCTGCAACTGTCACCTTGACAGGTAGAATGGTTCACAAAATCCAAGAGTAGGACAGTATTTTCACAATTTCTAATGTTAGAGACGTCTTAACCAAACATAGAGAAACTATATATTTTTGGAATCGGAAAATTGTGCTCTTCAAGAATATATAATCAAATATAGGGCATTCCATTTAAAAAAAGTTAAAAATGAGCAAGATTTCAAATTTCTGAAAATAAATTTCTGTTTCTGACGATGGATTCTAAAAATTTAGCTAAAAACTGAACAACTTTTGTATTTACACCTATCATCTTTTTGTAAAGGTAAAGCTGCAGGTGGGGTCCAAAAATATACGAGAAAACCCTGTACCTGTACTGAAAAAAAAAACTAAACTATAGGTAAGTAAAGTTCGTTCCACGAGGGTTTATACTTTTGACATCGAAGACGTCATAAGTGGAAAAAAAGGCTTGTTATAGAATAATTCATATGACACATTAAGGCTATGGTCCGAATATAACCAAACGTTAACCAAAGTAACCGAATTATCGGTTGACAGATGGTTACTGAAAATTCCGGTTACTTGGGAAACGCGAATATGAAATAAAAAATAATTGACAGAATGTACAGATAAAACCTTTGAATATAAAACTACAGGAAGGAGCATAACTTCGAATCTGCGCGACCAAAATATGTGGAGGTTGCATATGGCCGACTAGTATTTCCGGTTTGGCAGTGGCGTATATTTATTTAAATATGATTGTCAATATTATGACTCACTCTTTTCTCGCTAGTTCCAGTGCTTATTATCACTTAAAAATGCTAAAATCCATTAAACATCCACTTGAATGAGGACACAGCGAACCACCAAAACAAATGATGAGTTCATACTTGGAGGCTCAAAATGGCCGTTTCCGTCCCTGCGTTGTCTATAGTGACAGATAGAAAACTCTCCTTCCTGTAGTTTTATATTCAAAGGATAAAACCAATGAACTATAGCTAAAAACTGGAATGCGCACACATTGCCATATCTGCCAAAAAAATGAAGCCATGAAAGACAGATGCCACAAGGGGGAATGTTGTTTTTTTCTGTTGCTCGCTGACATATGACGTTTTCGAAAGTTTTGTCATATTTCCCTTCACAGGTTTCATCAATTGGAATACGTGTTGGAAGCAATTTTCGCCATTTAACATAATGAGTGCGACAAAAACAGGTATCCCCTCCGCAGCAGCCGCACTAGGCTTCAAGTTCGTCCTTATGTGTTAGCATTCCAGTTTTTGGTTATAGTTCATTGGATAAAACCAACAAAACCGACATCCAATAGCCGGTAACTATTTTGACATTTGGTTAACCCAGATTTCAGGAAACCAAGGTCCAAAAGTAACCACTTTTCCAGGAACCAGAATAGTTTGATTACTTTCGGACCGCGAAACCACAACCCTGGTTATATTCGGACCACAGCCTAAATTTTTTTTACAAATGAAAATGAATGACTTCTGGCTTAAGAAACGACGAACGTTTTTGACGTCATTGATTTGTATCAGTCAATTTCTATTTGTTAAAAATGGAAGGCAAATTATGTCAAAAGTATGAACCGTCGTGAAACAAAGTTTAGGTACTTATGGACATGTTGTTTTTTTGCAAACACCACTCAACGAGTATAGGGCGGACTTTACCAGAGAGAGCAGTTGATACATTATAACTAAACTTCTCGATTTTCGTGAGGTAACTTGTCGTAAACGTAAAAGTGTAACAAAAATCAACCACTCCACTGCAGTAGGTATCAAATTCGGCAGAATCAGGTGTTGAAGAACATAACAGGAAACTTTAAATAGGTAAATACCTACAGCTTTGTTAAATTAATTCAGATACGTTTCAATCCCTCAGAAAATGCGACAAGAAATTTCAGAAAACTGTTGAGTATTCCAGTATAAATTTTCAACTAAAGGTGTTACTGGAAGGAGGGAATCTAGCTCAGAAATCCAATTTAATTTGTTCTTTGAATTTAATTAATCATAAACCTCTATTATACATTTTTTTCAAAATTGCCTAGGAAAAATGTTTAAAAATAATATGAAAAGGTAGAAGGTTTCCTAATTTTATCTTATAGGTACCCACTTAGATTGAACTAGCGTTGACTTCATTTGAGCTAATTACCAAACATCAGGGAGGGTTAGTACTGTTAGTAGAATAAAATTCATAGAAATAGATGAAAAAATGCATGATTATCGTCGATCATTACCTTCAAACTAAAATCTTAATAAAATTCAGAATTTTTTGAAGAAGTCAGAAAATGCAGTTTTATATAACCTAGCTTCATTTAAAAATAAGTAGGTAGCAACAAAAAGAAAATTAGTGTCGAAAAAATATCAAAAATTATCAAACTTGTATAGATTTAGTTAGGCCATACTTATAGTTCTCAAACATAGAAATATTGTAAAAAAAAGAGAAGCTGTGTCCCCGAACTAACACATCAATTAATTTATAAAAAAATACTCTTCAAACTATTATAAACGAATACATGTAAATTTTTCCAATTTGCTTGTTTAAATCAATTACTTAACAAATCATAGGTACCTACTCACCAGAAAATAATTATTGTTGTTCATGATGGTCATTCGCGAGTGTTACAAAAGGGTATACTGACATAATAATGCGGTTAAGTAGAGAATTTATATTATTTTATAGGTGCATCTTCTATCTCCTTTTCCTCCAACAATTTTGTAAGACATTTTCATAGATAATTTATTCCATCAGTTGCATATTCAAATTAAAGGTTATATTGGTATAATACCTACCACCCATACCTATACCCATCATATCGCAAAAAGGATGAGTCAAATGGAATGCAGAAAAAAGGTGTAATGGGTATTAAAATGTTGTGTGTATGGCTATATTTGCAGCGCTATGAACATTAATTTTATGGTGATTAGATGAGGGTGTACCGTTGGTTTTGCTGTCAAGGAAATTTTATAGGTTGACTCAAAAATAAATTGAACCAAGTATTGCCAAGAGTAAACAAAATAGGATTTTTTTCCTTACAAAAATAACTATCTTCATTTGCGAATACATAAGATAAATTCCAGTGTCAACAGAGAAGAAAACTAACTAAAAAAATGCATTATATAAGATAGTATTGACGTATTGTTATTTGTTTCTTAATCCGGCACTGTCGATTGAAAAATAAAAACGCAAAAGAAAAGGTCGTGGCCATTTATAAAATGAGTTTTCAACTCTCATCTAAAACGATGTTGATATCAGATTACAATCTTAACATTTATTGGCGGTAATTGCAATTATAAGTAATATATTTCTTTATTGGCGTTATTAAATTATCTAATATGAAATATAAATAATTAATCAGGAAATAAATTAACAAATATGTCGACAACAAAAAATTCCATACATTTTTGATTTTCTGTGGGTACTGGTACTGGATAAAGATATGTATGATAGATAGAATATAGAAACTTGGAACGAATTCCTGACTATTCGCGATTGGGTCCGAAGAGTGGCATCTTTTTTTGTACCAAAGTAATTTCCTAACACGGCTTCGGATTCAAATCAGTCAAGATGCACTACCTTCTTCTTTGAGTTTCTCTTAATCCTGTACGGACGTTTCTTTACCTACTATTGATAGCTAACTGGACCTTTATCCTTTGAGGAATATTATAGCCAAACTCTGTCAATCTTCTAGAAACCTGCATATGAGTTTGCCTTAAGATCATAATATCTCTTTATTCGGTCACTTGTGGTGAACCTTTTTCGTAAATCGTCAGGATAGTCTTCGTCTTCCATGGACCATGTCGGCGACATCTGGTCACCCGAACATCAAGTCATAGGGTAAACGGAGCTGTCTTCCATTTTCCAAACCACACCATGACTGGTGTAACTCCTGTTGAATTATGTGCACCTCAATCAACGGCACCGCTGACCAGTGGGCAGTGACCATGTGTTTTAGTATGGAAAGCAAAACCTTCAGGTCACTTACTGAAATCAAAGGCTTCTGACAACAAATCTTTCACCATTTTTGCCTTCAAACATATCCTTGTGCCTATAAATGAATTGTTCTTCAGATTTCACGCTTCGAAATCCCTTTGACAGTCTAATTCATATACAGGGTGTTCCGAAATTAATGCACCAAATTGTTATGGCATATTCTACGTCGAAAATAAGCCCCAGTTACCTATATAAACATATGTCCGGAAACGCTTCCTTTCCGAGATACAGGGTGTTGAAATTCTAAGAAAAAAACTATTTTTCTATCATAATTTCCAAACCACTCTAGATATTACATTGGAATTTTGTCTGCTGCTTTCAAGCAGCAAAGGACATTTTTTGATGTGAAATTATTTTTTAAAAAAAATTACCAGTGGCGTCCTACCAGATTTGTAAGGAATATTTTTTAAGAAAAAAATGGTGCGTCACTGCTTTTTTCAAAAATAAAAATCATTTTTCAAATCCCCATTCAATTTAGAACAAATTTGATCTCTTCACTTTTTTCCGAAAGATGCACTGTTTCAAAGTAAAAAAATAAAAAACCATTTTGATGCATGGCGAAATTGCCAAAATTATGATAAAAATGTTTAACATTAAAGACCTGAGGTTTTAAATTAGTTTTGTGACCTCACTGGTAATTTTTTTATTAAATATTCCACATCAGAAAATGTCTTTGGTTGCATGAAACCAGTGTACAAAATTTCAAAGTGGTATGAATTATGATAAAAAAAATAGTTTTTTTTTTTAGAATTGCAACACCCTGTATCTCGGAAAGGAAGCGTTTCCGGACATATGTTTATATAGGTAACTAGGGCTTATTTTCGACGTAGAATATGCCATAAAGATTTGGTGCATTAATTTCGGAACACCCTGTATAGGTGGCTATTTCATTACCCTTTGTTGATTTGGATAGTTTTAGGGTTAGAGTGAAGGTTTGCTGTTCATGAAGGTCTGATTCCTTGTGAATTTACCAAAACTTCCCAAACGAGATATTTCTTTTACCTGTTTGATGTGATTGTACAAGTGCAACGCAGCTTCTAGAATAATTTTCCAACTGCCGACTATCTAATTTATTCTGTATTGCCATTTATTTTTTCTACGAGCGTGCGGAAAAGTGCACTTTTCCGCACGCATTTTAGTTTAGAAAGTTTCAGTTTTCCGCACTAGTGCGGAAAAGTGACAGGTGTCAGTTTTTAAATTATAAGCTGACACATTTACACAAGTATCAGCATTGATAGTTATTGAAACAATAGTGTTATTTACTAAATTATTTCGGTTTAAACTTAACTTTTCTTGTCAAGTTACTATAGAATGGTTACTTTATGCTTAAAAATTTCGAAAATTTCATAGTAGATACATCAAACGTACAAATTATTGTTAAAAGTAGTCGATTTTATTGTCTACAGAATCAGGGACATTCAGAATTATTTTTTTTTATTTAAAAAAAAAAAGTTTTATTTGTACTTAAGAGTACCTAACCTATATTAAGAAAAAATTACTCGATTTGTTTTTAATACCAGGTGTTGCAAAAGAAATGTTGTCAAATATTGGTGTTAAAATTTACATTACGTTGGTACGTTCCTTCTATCTCGTAGAAGAAATAGTGTTCCTAACTCGTGCGGAAAGTCTCTTTTCCGCACTAGTTAGGAAATATACTATTTCAAGTATCTACATCCTTTATAATCACGGAAATATTGATCTTTAATATGTTTGGAAAATACAAACTCCTCAAAGTCAAATTTCAGGATGTTAAGCTGGTTGTCGAACGCAAAATCATGTTGACTAATGTTGACTTACTTAGTCCTTAGTCCATACCGTCCATCATACGCAATATACGTATAGTCTGTCACCACAAAGAGTCTTAGACAGATTGCAATAAACGATCAGAAATATTCGTCAGTTACGTTTCAATTAATTAATGACAGCTGCAAAAACAGTTTACGTCGGAATCTCTTGTGGAAACAGACTAAATAAACTCATCTTCGATATCATCAATTAGCACGGAGTGACAGATCTTAATATTTTTTAATTTTTTTAAAATTTATTATTGATAAGGCAGCGCCAGCTTCCAGTGTCGGTGATATTTTTACCATTATTCTGTGCTTCAAAAGTAAAACTTTTTCAATGCTATGCAAAGCATTTTAATGGAAAGCGCTAAGGCGCAATTCACTTGCACAATTTTTAGAGTCACATATATTGGAGACGGATCGATCAAATATAGACAAACTATGTATTATTGAACTCGGAAAATTGTGCTCTTCAAGAGTAGTGACAAATATTAGGCATTCCATTTGGAAAAAGTTAAAAGTATGCAAAATTTTACCAGCCAGGAGCCAACAACTTTTGTCTGCATACCTTTCTTCTACCTAAAGATAAAGGCTGAAGGTGGAATGTCATTATCCGCGGGTGGCTTAATTCACCAAAATGTTGCACCGCAACGGATGCGGTGATTACGATTTACTAATTTCAATGCCAAACCACAGCTTGCCAAACCCTCTTAAATTTAACAACACTGCTTTTTCTTCCATTCTACCAGCTGAATTTAGCAACACGCGGTATGTGGGAAAACATAAAGTGTTATTCGAAAAAAATGTTAACACATCAATCCGCAATTAATCAGTGTTCATAGCCTAATTACTTCGTTCTTTAATGTAACGAATTTATGTTCATTATTATCATAGAACCCGTGAAATTTTATTTTCCATTGTTTGAACGAACATTTTCATCGGTATAAGGAACTTTCTTTGAAGACCAGTTATGAATAATCGTGCATAAACCACATTCATTGTACTGATGATTATTTCTTGTCCCAAAAAATTTGTACATCATGCCTATGGAAAGTTCTTCATTGTATCAATGAAGTTATGCATCGACCCCCCCCCCCCCCCCCCAGACGTCGCTAGGCCCCCCCAGAAAAAACTTTAATAATATGATATTTTATGAAAGCTACGTTACCTATTATAATTTTATGTTATTACCTACTAAATTTGAACGGTAATGCGCGGCGATCCCGATCGACCCTATCCGATCCTCCGATCCACCAACGAACGGGCTGTATGCAATCGTGTCACCCAAAGGTCAGTGCAAATTGCAATGTGCAGAAGTGATACAGTATACTAGTTGCTTTGATACTAGTATACCAAAGCCATTAAATAGACCGATCTCCTATTACCTGGACTGCGCGCGTCGCTTGTAGGCTGCAGGTGAGCGACCAATGAGAAGCAAGTTTGTGACAGGCTTGCGTCATATTCTAATTCAGGAGCCAGTTCAGAATCAATCGTTCCTTCTTTCTTTGTAACGTGTAATTTGACAAAGAACAAACTAATACTTTACATATTACTTGAACTCACCGCAGTTTCGTTTAAGGTTATGTTAGATTATACTTGACATATTTCATGGAGCGATGTTGCCGAATGAAACATTTATCAAAATAAAAGTGCAAACGATAGTCATCCACTTTAAAGCTCTTCTTTTGTCTAATTTAAGGCATTGTAAAACCCTCGACACTATATCACTTCTTTAATGTCATAATGTTCGATTTGTATTGTCTACATTTTGTTCTGCAACAATACAATCTGGCTACACTGCAGCCTACGAGTTGCGCGCGCATGTCATCTTCTATTGCTTTCTAACTTGTATTTATTACAATTTAGCTCACTTTTTCTAATCATGCGAGACAGGTCTATTAGCATTAGCAATATAACAGATTAGTTTGGGAGTTTGACAAAA